AGAAAGAAAGAAAGAAAGAAAGAAAGAAAGAAAGAAAGAAAGAAAGACCAACTTGCCTTGAATTCTGTTGACCTTTGTCTAACTCCAAGCAGGTACTGTTAAGAATATCCCTGCGCATAGGCATGAGTACACAAATACAGACACACACATTCTATAGTTTTGACTGATTTATAACTAAGTTCTATGCATATGAAAAATCCTTATCTCATATCAACTTACATCCATTATCATTTTGCAATTTTTGCATGGTCCAATCTGACTGAACAGCTGGAGAATTAGGGCCTCAGTGACGTCTCTGGACAGATTCCCCACATACCTGTAAAATATACACACTGAAGCTTGTAAGTCTTACATAACAAAAAGGTAGCAGAGGGAGCAACTAGACTGTTCCACAGCTTAGTAATTATTAAAATATCTAAGGTGTTTAGAAGACTGAGCTAAGGAAACAAAAACCCTGGCTTCTGATTTGAAAATCTGTATTGAGCAAAGGCAAAATTAAAATCTCATAGCAGGAATGAAGGCTGTGCAAAAAAGCACAAACAAGAATCGGACCCCCCCTTTGTCTCATTGATGGGGTCTCCTGCTCGGGCTAGAGAAAGGATACTTACTAATAGACTTACAGCCACAATTGTGCTCCAAATTTCTGTTGCTAAGCATGACAGTTAAGTGAATTTTGCCCTTTACTATTTTTCTTCCCCATTTTTAATGAATCCCTTCAATTGTTAGATGAACAACACGGTTGTTAAGTGAATCTGGCTTCTTCCCCATTGACTTGGCTTGTCCAAAGGTCACAAAAGGGGATCACGAAACCCTGGGACCCTGCAACTGTTCTAAATATGAACTGGTTGCTAAGCATCCAAAATGTGATCATGTGACCATGGAGATCTGCAACGGTCACGTGAAAAATGGCCATACATCACTTTTTTCAGTGCTGTTGTAACTTCGAGGGGTCACTAAACAAATGGTTATAAGTCAAGGACTACCTGTAGAAGACTTCCAAGATTTTTTATTCTATGACTTGTAAATTCTTATATTATGCACAAAAATAGTATTTTCACAAAGTATCCACATTCTATTTATCTTTCAGATATTATCTTTCTAAATTTGAAATTTCTTTTGCTCTGTATATTTATAGTTGCCAAGTATTAACCCTTCCTTTATCAAGGTCCTGTTATTTACCTAATTTAAACAATTTTCAAATAAAGGACAATGTAAAAATTGTACTTGATAGGCTCTTGAATTTAACTTTCAGTTTCACAAGTTTCCTACATTAATACGTTTGCCTTAGTTTTTAAGTTTTAAGAAATGACTGCACCTTATTTACTACTTATCTATGAATAAATATGAAATTATTCAAGTATGAAGCTACTCATTTCTACATAAACGTACACTGGTACTGCTGGGAACAGCTTCAGTCCTAGAGGACCAGGCTACAATTGAGATTATGAGAGTATACTTTCTCTTACAAGCTTTCATTGGTACAATAAATTCAAGGACAGGGAATTGGTTATTGTTCTTCATGGTTTGTGACCTGCAGATGACTCCATCTAAATATATTCAGCATAAGTTTGAAAAGCTACTCAGTGCAAAATGTACCAGCTGTTTTAAAAGCTGTTCCACAGGCTACAGATATGATTCCATACCCTGTTAATACTGATTTAATGCCCCTTGGCTGGATTCTTAATACCTCCTTCTCCAATGAGCTTTGTCTGGTAACAAAGAAACATGGAGGCTATGCTAAAAGAAGGGATAATAATCATATGTAAAAACTAAACTCCTAGGTGTGAAGTTTTATGAAGAAGCTGGAAAGGTCCTCATAGATCATTTTTTAAAATTGTTGTTCTAAACTCTACCTCCAATAATTGATTAAACAACAGTTTATATTTGGTAGTTTAAATGACTGCATGTTAGAACTTTAATTTGTAAACTATTCCTGAAGTAAACAAAATGTCAAAGTGCTAATAGGTTTGACTAGTAACAGGTTTAAATCCTCTCATCTTCTAGCTACAGAAACCCTTGTAATTCCAGATATTCTAAGCTTCAGTTCATTTAATCCTCAGCTAATATAATTATTGGCCATTCTGGCTGAGAAACCGTGGGGCTTGAATGAAAATAATTGAGAAAACTAATTAGAAGCATGTTAACATGAAAAAGTTCAAGACTGAAATGTATTTTTTGTCTGAGAGTCTAGGAGGGATACCTTCATGTTAATAGATACCATGTGTTTTCTGTGTATCAAAATATGGTAAAAATGCTGAACATTTTTCTTTAAAGCAAAATAAGAATATATAACAGATCAGCATAAAAAGAAGGTAGCATAAATAGGGAAACACATTTTAAAACCTAGATTAGGAACTAGGATAGGCTAAGGAATCATCAGCATAATTAAAGCAAGACATTTGGTGATATAGTTTAACAGCCTTGGAAAAATAAAACGGCCCGTTGAACCTTTTTTGGGAGGGTGGGTGATCTTTTGCACTTCCCAGAGGTGGGAAGCACCCAGAGGAGGAGCAGGAGGGCCAGGCTGGGGCCCACTGGCTGCAACATGGAACCCAACTGGACAGAAAAGGTGGCGGGTTTTTCTGGCCTTTCCCCCCTTAGGGAAGAGGAGGGCGGGCTCCCTGCAATTTCTGTCAAGCCGCCAACAAAACGCAGGGCGACCCCAGCTGCAGGAGGCGATTCTCGTCCGGGCAGACGCCTCTCTGAAGAAGTTCCCCCTTTTCCTGGGGAAGGACCGTCGCGAGGGAGGGAGGGCCGGGCAAGGGAAGACGGACAAGGGGGGGGGGGGAGCGGGGGAGCGGGGGGGGGGGGGGGAAGGAACGAGAGCCGGCGAGGTCACAAGCGAAGGCCGACTGGGAAGATGCGCATCCCCGCCATACACTTATACTTATTATCTTGTAAACAATTGGCAAATCAAATAAAAATAAATAAATAAATAAATAAAATAAATCATTGCTCTGGTCCTGTCCAGCCCGCTTCATCTATGCAGAGTCCCAAGGCGGCCGAGGCGCCCAAGTCGGCCCTGCCAGGTGGGCCGGGGCTCCTCTCGCTTAACTCCCAGCGCAAGGCCCCGCTCCAAAAAGGCTCGCGCGGCCGGGCATCCAGGACCGCCCCGAGGAGCCGGTCGAGGGAGGCCGCAAGCCGCTGCGGGAGGCGAGGCCTTTCTGTCAGGCTCGCGGCGGGAAGGCGCGGGAACAACGTGGCCGGGCCCTCCCACTTAGCGCGCGGGGCTCCCGCCAGACTCACAGGGTCTTCGGCATTTCGTCTTCCATGGCGGCGGCGGCGGCGCCTGGGGCGCACCGGTCAGGCGTGGGCGACCCGCGGGCCGAGTCCGCGAGGCAGGGAGGCGGCCCTCACGTAGGCCCGACGGACAACGAACCCGCCGCCCGTCCTCTCAAGATGGCGCTGCTGGGCGGAGAGGCCCGGCCGGCCGACGGAAAGGCACCTCCGCGCATGCGCCGCGTCTCCCGCCAGCGCACTCGCCCGAGGAAGCCCCGCCTTTTCGATGGCGCACCCAATGGAGGCGTCCTTTCGGGCGGCGGGTCTCGCGAGACCTCTCTAGAACGCGTGCGCAGTACTTCTGTTTTACAGATTGCGTCTCCACTGCTGTCGTACAAGGCTCTGCTTGTTTCCTTTCTTGTAAAAATAAAGAAAAAATAGAACGAAGTCATCGTTGGGTGGAGGGAGCAGGCAAATTTGGTGATAAGGCACGAAAAGGGATGCTGAAGTGAAGAGGCAAAAAGAAGACTGCGCCGCCCGGGAATCGAACCCGGGTCGCAAGAATGGGAATCTTGCATGATACCACTACACCAGCGGCGCTCTTGCAAACTTGCTTGGGAAGAATCCTCTAGAAAGCAGAGACAGCCTATGAAAGTTTTATGAATACGGCATTATCAAACTGGGTTCTTCCCAAACTGAAAGCAATAATTAATCGATAGATGGAAGAAGAATGGAACTGTTAAATTGAACAGGAAATACTTCCAAAAATACATGCACCAAATTTCCCTATAAAATATTGTTCTAAAAAGTTTCCAGCATCTCCAAGTATCACTTGAAGAATCTAGGCAAAGATTCAAAGGAAGACTCTCAAATACTTCACAAAATGTTCATATCATTTGGATGTCCCCTATCTTTTAGATAGCTTTCCAATTAAAAAAAATTTATCCCTGAATTTAGTCCAAATATATTTCAGTTATTTAAAAAGGTGGTATAGTAGTTATTAAAAAGAGAACAATTTATACTGCAAGAGTCATAATTAAGACAAAGAGCAAGGACGAATATTCCCAGTTTGATAAGTTTTTTAGTGTCAAAAAACATGTCTTGTCTGAATGTGAAAGAAATTCTTTGTATCACATTAAAAAAAATGTAAAAATTAATGTTATTTGTTCCAAGAAATGAATATTTTCAGGCTCTGCAAAGAAAACAAGACACTTATTTTTAAAGGAAGGAAGTATTCCTCCAAACTGTCTTAAAACCAAAACCTCATTTCTTACTCCTCTAATGTTTAAAATCCTCTAGAGTTCCTTGAGTGGCTGGCATACAAAAATTGTAAATAAAATAACGTTCTGAACAAATTCGGCATTTTATTGTACAATGAATATTGTAGCTCAGGGGCCTCCGCCCTTCCACCCAGCAAAGCTACGTAGCAAACTGTTTTGGGGATAATCCGTCTTCTTGTATTCTTTCCAACCCAGCGAATGTTTGACAGACAGCCGGCGCTTATGGGCGGAAAAAGTCCCGCCTTCTCAGTCGGCCGCCAGCCAGGAAAAGGGGACCCAGGGAGGAAGTCGGGGGGCGGGGCGGGACTCTTCCGGTCCAGAGGGGCGGGGCCCCCTCGCCGTCTCCTTCGGCCATGGCTGCGAGGGCTCTGCTGCTGCTGCTGCTGCCGCTGCTGCTGCTGTGCTGCCGGGGCGCCTCCTCGGGGGCGCCGGAGCTGCGCCGCCCGCCCTCCCGCCTCGGTAGCCGTGCTCGCGGGGGCCCCGGGGGGGGGGGGGGAATGTGGCCCGAAGAGACGCCTCCCTTTCCCCCGCGGCCAAGAACGGAGCCGCCTGGGCGGGGGGCTCGGGGCGGCCGTCTCTCTCGGCCCGTTGTTGGGGGGGAGGGCGGCGGCCGGGCCTGCCGGGAGTTCTGCCCGGACCGAGGGCGCCGCTTCCCGGGGCTCCGGGGCGGGGCGGCCTCTTAGCGGACGCGGCTGCCTCTTGCAGGGGTGATCGGGGCCGGCATCGGGGGCTCCTCGGCGGCCTATTTCCTGCGCCAGAAGTTCGGCCGAGAGGCGCGGATCGACGTCTTCGAGCGGGGCGCGGTGGGCGGCCGCCTGGCTACCGTCCAGCTGGAAGGCCGGGACTTCGAGGCGGGCGGCGCCGTCCTGCACCCGCTGAACCTGCACATGAAGCACTTCGTCAAGGAACTGGGTGAGGCCCGGCGCTGGAGGGGCAGGGGCAGCTGGGGGGGCTGTTGGGGGCTCCGAAGGGGCTCTTGGGCCACCTGCAGCAGGGGGGAAAGCCCCGACAACGGTCCGAGCCGTCCTCCCTCTCCCTGGGGACTCCCTGCTACGTGAGCCGTTTCTCTCTGGCTGTGCCTTTGCTTTCTGCCAGGCAGCGCTGGCTGCTTCTCCTCCAGGCTCTTCATGGGGAACAGCTCCTCAAGCGGCCTTGACCGTCGTCCATCCCAAAGTCCCCTATCAGACCCTAAACGTCCCTGGCATTCAGACTCGGGGGATGCCCTTCGAAAACTCTGACATCTCAGCCACAGGCATCCTTCCATCCAAACCAAACGACAAGCTGCAAAATATATTTCAAATCCAGCAAACCCAGTCCTCATCCCTTTGCATCTTGTAACATTTTTATTTGACAAGGTTTTTTTCCTTTCCATGCAAATTTAGATAGATTTTTTTTTGCCATTGCTTGCATTGTACTTCAACTGTCAAAACAGATTTTATCTGAAACAAAAACAGTTTAGGCAAAACAATAATTTTTAGTCACAGAATTTTCCTCCCACTTTTGAGAATTTCAATTTCTCCCACCCTAATATGTACGTCTTCCTTAATTTCATTCCATGTGAAATGATGTATAATTTGTATTTGTCCCAGTAATACCCAAGGAGGCACCTTGGCTCTCTCTTGGCCAGTGTGTGTCGTTCTTGAGGGCCGGTGACTGCAGGGAAGTTTGGGGCATTGGGTGGCTCTCCCCCCTCTCAAATTGCCGCCTCTGCCTTTCAATCCGCAGGGCTTTCTGTTCCTCAGGGTCAAGACGGGCTCATGGGCATTTACAATGGGGAGGAATTTGTCTTTGAGGAGAGCAGCTGGTATGTCTGGACTCTTCTGAAGCTGCTCTGGCGCTACGGACTGAACCCCCTGCGGATCTACATGTGGGTGGAGGAAGTCCTGGAAAAGTTTATGAGGTGAGGAGCGGCACAAGGCAAAGGACTGCAGGGCGAGGTGGGGGGGGGCGGCATTTCAACCTCCCTGCACCAAAGGTCTTCCTGGCCTCCCTCCCCCAAAATCTTATCAGGAGGACCATATCACCTGGTTTAATTGACGTAATGCTCACTGTATTCAAATGAAATGCATTTTGCTTTTCCCTGGGCCTTTCTATTTTTGGAAGCAAGGTTTTGTTCTGCCATGGAAAGAAAAAGACCAGGAAATAGCTTGGCTCTAAAATTTCCGTTTGCTTTTATCGTATCATAATTGTGTAGAGGGCCACAGGATGGCTTGGTGTAAACCAATCAATCAAAGCTTCACGAATTTCTCTAGATCTGAAAAGTTAGTCCAGTCCAGGCTGGTTCATGCCTGGATGGGTGGCCAAGGCTACAGGCTTGAGTGGGAGTCAAAGAACACCCCAGAGAGGAAGCTGGCCACCCCCTTCGTAGCCCCCAAGAGTTGCCCTCAACTCAGGGGCTTCTTTACCTTTGAAATCTCAAGCACAGCCTGTGGTTGCTTCTAGTCAGAGACTCCAATAGCGAGCAGATGAGCCCAAAGTAACGAACACCCTGAATGTTCCATGAAAGAGGTGGGTGCAAAATCATCTCTGCGGTTAAGTGGAAGACCAACAGCAGATGAAACTGGCGATGGCCTACAAAAAAAAAAAACCAGTTTGACTGGCAACCGGCCCTATTAGTTAAATGCCAGTCACCGCTTCCTATTTCTCAACCTTAGTAAGATTTCAACATCCAGAATTTCCCATCAGCAGGCTAAGAGTTGGAGCCCAAGCATTTAAAAGTTGCTGTGGTTGAAAAATACTGCATTAAAGCATGTAATAAGAAGAGGTTCCATCTAGGGATTTCCTTAGCGAGGGAGAGAAAACGATTGTGCGCCCTTAGCAGGATTAACGAGCCACGGTGCCTTCAGAAAGTATTCAGGCCCCCTTCCCTTTTGTCCGTTTTATTAGGCCGCAGCCTGATTCTACAGTTGCTGAAAATCATTTTTTCTCATTAATCTACACTCAGTACTCCATAATGACAAAATGAAAACAGAATTTTAGAAATGCCTGTAAATTTATTGAAAAGAAAAAAACGGAAACATTACATTGCCGTAAGTATTCAAACCCTTTGCAACAACATGTGAAATTTTAACTGTGGTGCCTCCCATTTCTCTTGATCGTGGCTGACGTGTTCCTACACCTTGGAGTCCACCTGTGATAAATCGATTGGACCTGATTTGGAAAGGCACACACTCCCTCTCTTTAGAATGCCTCACAGCTAACAGTGTGTCCTGCAGCAGAGCAAAAGCCAGGAGGCCAAAGGAACTGCCTGCAGAGCTCAGAGACGGGCTAATTACAAGGCACAGATCTGGGGAAGGCTACCATAAAACTTCTGCTGCACTGAAGGCTCCTGAGGGGCCTCCATAATTCTCAAATGGAAGCGGTTTGGCAGAACCAGGACTCTCTTCAATACAACAGCCCCAATCTAGTGGATTTCTACTGTCTTCATCATCTGGGGGATGATGGAAGACGAAAGCAGAACTTCCTGCACCAGTTTGGAGACGTTAGCTGATACTATCAAAGGATAATAAATAGCAGCTCTGGGTTCTTAGTCTGTTCGCCCCCTCCCCCTCCCAACCCCCCTTTTTCGGTCTAGGATCTATCGGTACCAGTCGTACGACTACGCCTTCAGCAGCCCTGAGACTCTGCTCCATGCCCTCGGAGGGACGGGCTTCCTTCACATGTTGAACCAGACCATCGATGAGTCCCTGCAAAAGGCCAGGTTTTCTCAGGCATTCATCAACGAGATGGTCACCCCTATCATGCGAGTCAACTATGGGCAAAGTGCCAGTATCAATGGCTTCGTAGGTAAGTGGCTTGTTCATTCCTAAGTAGCAAATTTAGTGTCGCACCATTTGTGCTTCTTCCACCACTTGCTCCACTTCTGAAAAAACTGGCCCAGAAAACCACAGGGACCAGTCTCTGAGAATCAGACATGATTGAAGAAAAATGTACCAAGACCCTCAGGCATACATTTTAGGGAACTTTGTTTCTAGATGTCCCTGTGCAAAAAAAATGAATGGGGGAAACAAATCTCCCCCCCCCCCCCAAAAAAAAAAAAAAAAACCCCAGACAGGATTTTCCATCCTCCTCTGAAAGGTAACAAATGACAGTTGAAGATGGAGCATCACAGTTACTTCCCTTCTTGCATTATAGGATGGCTGGTTTTGTGCATTACTCAGTAAGCCATAGCAGTTTGATTCGTTCATAAGAGTAAGTCTTAAACACAAGTGTCCGGTGGCTGGGTTCACATATTTTTTAAAGCCATAATGCAGTTTTTAAATTCTTGGCTTAGTTTTATTTCTCACCCTGTCACTGAATCACTTCAGCCTCAGCTACCGTCTTGTTTAGGTGTGTCTGACCACTTTTTCTCTGGGCTTTGTTTCTGTGTAGGAGCTGTATCTTTGGCCGGAGCGAGTGGAGGACTTTGGTCGGTAGAAGGTGGCAATAAATTGGTGTGTTCGGGCCTTCTGTATGCTTCCAAAGCCCAGCTGATTTCTGGTCCCGTTATCTCCATAGAAGCAAAAACAAGGCCCAAGGGCCGTGCAGGTGTGGTTGCCTCATATTTAGTTATTTATTTCACATTTGCAAAATATAAGTTTATCAAACGTGAAAGTCATGGAAGGTTGAAAAAAGAAGTGAGCAATCTGTCACCCTCCACGAGTTTGGGTCCACCACTTCCCCAGTCCCTTGTCTTTGGCCACAAGAGCTGGCGCTGATGGGTGTCTAGAGTCTCAAGATGGCGAGTGCTGCGCCATTTCTGGGGAAAGAGGTGGCCCTACTAGACGTTGGGGCTTTGCTGCAGGCGAGCTCCCCATTTTTTAAAATTAGATCATTTGAAATCCCGCCTAAGTGGGGTGGGCCATCGGCAGAGTGAAAACGGTGGTCGTGGAAAGCTCCTTCCCAGAGCTAAAACTCAGAAGCAGCAGCCCCAGATTGGAAGAGGGAGACAGAGAACTTGGGGTGTGCGCTGCCATCCCCCAAACACAACATATGGGGCGGTGGGGGGCCCAGTCCTTCCTTTCCAACCACCCTGGATGGTTGGGAAGAATTTTCATCAGAGACCAGGGAGTCGAACAGCAACCCCCCTCTTTGGCTGTCAGCACCTGCCATTTTGGAGATGAGGAAACGTGGCAGGCAGGTTATCCGATTGGGTCACTGCTTCAGGGTGAAAGGAGCCCTGGGACCAATTCTACTGACGGTGGTCACGACATGGAGAAAGTTATCCCAAGGGGTGTCTGAGTTTGGCTGGAGAATCGTGCAGCCCTGGCCTTCTGCTGCTCTCTGAGAAAAGCACAGAAATGCCGACCCTGCCCTTTTGCATTGGGAAAACACCCCCAAAATCTCTTTCTCAGCCAGTGAAACTGCTGCTTTAATTTCTTTTGGTTGTTTTGAAGGTGGCCTGACAAAGCAGTATGAGGTTACCTACAACTCCACGTCTGGAGAAACATCAGGGGTCTACGACATCCTCCTCATCGCCACTCCCTTGCAGCGCAAGATCGCCAACATAACCTTCCGCAACTTCGACCCCCCGATCCCCGAGTTCTCCCCTCCCTACCACCAGACGGTGGCCACCTTTGTCCACGGGCACATCAACGCTTCTTTTTTTGGCTATCGGGACCCTTCCCAGTTCAGCCTGAAGGCCATTCTCACGATGGAGGATCCTCACCTGTTTGTCAGCAGCCTTGGGGTGGTTTCTCCGGTGAAGGGCAACCACCTGGGCCCTCCGGTCTGGAAAGTGTTCTCCCACCAGTTGCTGACCGATGAGCAACTGAAGCTGCTTTTCTCATCCTATGATTTGGTGGAAGTGCAGAAGTGGCTGGCCTACCCACACTATGCCCCTCCCCAGAAGTGCCCACCTTTCGTTCTCCATGACCACATGTATTACGTCAATGCCATAGAATGGGCAGCCAGCGCCATGGAGATGAGCGCGATCTCTGCCAAAAACGCGGCCCTCTTGGCTCACCACCATTGGTACAATAAGATGGACAGGATCGATCAAGAGGACTTGCACGAGAGACTCAAGACAGAGCTTTGACTTGGCATGACAAGGATTGGGGGGCGGCATCGGAGGGCAGGGGAAGCTTGCAGCGTATCTTGGGTGTTGGGTATGAGTGCGCAAAATGCCTGAATTTTGAAATGCTCCATTTGCAGCCCAAAATGTTAAGAAGCTTCAAATGTCTTCGCTTGGCAATAACTAGGGCAGTTTTAAGCTCAGAACATTCCTACAAGGGCCAAAATATTTTTAGTGAGGTAAGAAAGGTTTGGAAAATGTTTCAAGCTTCCAACAGTTGGCAACCATCACTGTTCATCCTACTTTGGTGCTCCCAAGAAAACAGGCTTAAAGGGAATTCTTAGTAACCGCCTTTTAAAAACGACTTTACCTTCTGGATTTCTTTTGCAAATCACATTACTTGTTATAAGTAATTCTTTGGGGAACAAGAAAAACTTTGAATAAATCCTTCGGGCTGACAACTCAGGTATTGTATCTAGCAGCGTTTCTTAAAACCACTGGATAAAGTCAAGAGACTTCATGTACTTACTTTCACAGACAGTGACACCCAACAATTCATTAGTTTTGATTGGAAGGTATTTTTTATAATTCTGGAAGCCATTAGTTTGGGGAATGACACAGAAGAAAATGAATATGCCTAATTTGAATCTCTGAATTGAGCTGTTCAAATGACTGAAGTGATGCCCTTTAAAATTCGTATTTTATAAGCTTTTAATGTAGTTATGCAAATGAGGATTTGTAAGAGAATTCAGCTGCACATTGAAACTTTGAGTTATCGGTTCTAAATAAGCCCCTCCTTTTTTTTTTGAAGGTGAAGGAAATTGGACATTCAGGATTGCTTTTGACAAACTCTTTCCACGCATAAGTAGCAGATCAAACGAGTGTTGAGCCATTCGGTTGTGGCGAGAATTGATGCTGGCTTGTTGCCTTGCTGTGGGCAGAGGGTCCGGCCCAAAGTCTTCCAGCTGGCTTTCGTGCCTAAGACAGGACAGGAACTCAGTCCCCCGGTTTCTGGCCTGGTGCCTTCACCACTAGACCAAACTTCATATTAAAAAAATATAGGTTGAGGGGAACATAAGGTATAAAATGGAGAGAAGTCAAAATTATCCCTTTGTGCCTTTTGATGCTTATTCAGGCAGGAAAATTGTAGTAGCAAGCGGCTTTTCTTTTACCTAAAAGCAGCAGGAAACAACATACCTCTACTGCCAGGTGTGTGGTTCTATGGCCATCCACTCGTGACTGTTAGGCAGAGAAGTAGGTAGCAGCAAATTGCAGGCAACAGATTGGGTATACTTTCTAACTTTATTAAAAGTGGGGGAAACACATTCTAGTGGTGCTGTTGTGCTTTTTCACTAATGCGTGGCTAAGGATCTGCATTTGAGAATTCTAGAAAGATGTCACACCAATACAACCAAAGAGGGTTACATTATGGGAGGTTCAAGTTGAATTATGGCCACAATTGCAGGACCAGATTCTCAGTTGTTGAGCAAAGTGGTCATTAAACAAGACACCCACACGATTGCTTTGCTCAATGACCGCAATCCTGGCTCTAATTGGCTGCAATCATGAAGTGATTATACAGGTTACTAAGCAGACAGAGGAAGAGCTGTCTGTCAAAACGAGGGCATTCCTGTACCTGGATTTTATTTTTTTTCCAATTTCATACATTCCCCAATTTTTCAAAGTTGTGAAACAAGTCATACCAACTTTTCAGAATTTATTTAAAAAAAATGTAAACATGGAATGATTCTGTAGAACTAACAATAAATTGCCCACACTGCAGTAACAGCCAGTACTTCATTTTTTATACTCGTTCCAGGGCTTCCAGCATAATAATGCTGTTTCCTCGTATTACCTAGAAATCAGAATAAATAATTATAATTAGCATAGCTAAGAATGAATTTGAAGAAAAAAAATTAAACTAGCTTCAAGATGGCTAACTGTTCTACAACTGTAATCCAGAAAGATCCATGACGTTGCTTAGTCTTTCATGGGAGTATTTTTGCTCCACTAGGATAGCATCTGTTGAGTGCTTCTGGTGATCCCAATCTAAGAGTATTGGTACTAGGTTCTTAAGTGTCAAAAGTGCCTGGATGAGAATTTGAGTTTTTACCTAAATCACAAAATACAAATGCTAATTGCTTCCTTACTGCTAGAATCAACATAAGTTGATTTATATTGCAACTCTATTTATATAATTCTTGAACATGAAAGAGTGTGCCGTTGTACTGTGCCATGACAGAATGCAACAGCCTAACATTCCTTTCCCCGGCAAAACAATTCTTATAACTTAATTCTTATTTTTGCTTACCACCATCCCTATGTTGTTCTGTTGTCCACCAGGTGCCATTTCCACACACTCATCTATCACCAAATTCATGAATGGATCAAAACCTCTTAATATCCCTTGAACATGCCGACCTCCGTTTAGTTTTACTGCAAAGAACAGACAGCAAGTTAAGTTATCCTCAATATTGTTTGCTATGGCCATTTTCCCACTACAACTAAAGTGTGAGAATTAGCACATAAGGCTTCAACAGTTTTTGTTAAATCACAGTTCTTTTAAACCAAAGTTTTCTTCCGTGAGCAAATAAGCCCCAGGAGACACGATCAATTATTTCACCATCTCATTCACTATTAAGAGTTACATGTATACTTAGAACAAGCTAAAGGCAAGAGTGAAACAACTCTAGTAGCTGAATGTCATTTGCTATTTCATGCAGAGGTTCAACAGTAACTCAAAAGACAAACCACATTCACTGAGACTGCAAATACTCGTGGACTTTTTCCTGCTGTTGGTTCCCTCTGGTGAACTGAAGCATCCCATTCTAAGATTTCTTCAGCAGCATTAACACAGTCAATAAGAGTATTGTATATTTCTGTAGAAGTGTAGTAATTCTTTGCATAAAATGCAACTCCTCCCCCTCTTTTTGAGTTGGGCGTGTTTCTTTTCAACAGTTTATATCCATCTAGTTGTGTATTCCATTTATGGGTTCCATCCCACTAGACATACCGAGTTCCCTCAACTGTTCATCCTACAACTTAGCCTCCAGACCCTTCATCGTCTTTGTTGCTCTTCTCTGCATTTTTGTATTATGGTGACCGGAATTGGACATAAATACAGGGAAACAGATAGAGGGAGACTAAACCATTAATGAATTATGTAAATTAATACAAAAGTAATGAAAAATTTAGGGCATAAAAGACCAACATTTGGACAAGTACTGAGATGCAACAGATAGAGAAAATAAGGGGAAGTGAGCACATCTCAGGAAAATTATTTACACAAGATAACCAGACACGAAATAAATTGTATAGTTTTTTCCTTGCAAAACAGAATCTCTAAAACAATCAGTTCACTTACATGATAGCTTCTTGTCCATAAACCTGAAAATTCAAAACAGAGGAAATAAGCCTCATGCAAGTCAAGTTCATAATAAAGAAAAATTCTCAATATAAGAAATATGCAGATTCAGTGTTTAAAAAGATAACTTGGGACCACCCTTTATGAAACACTGTCTTGAGCAATCTTACGAAGCTTCTGTCCTTTGTCTTCATAACCTGGCTTTGTATGTCTTGCCCATTTCCTGACCGAGGAATGGGAAACTCCAAAGCTTTGAGCGTAGGATGGTGCAAGAACGGTCACACCCGGATGTTGTTCTCAGGAAAGACGGTCCCTTTCCAAGAGCAGGAACAAAGGTACAGCTTCTTTTAGACTCAGGGCCCCAAAGAAGAGTTCTCCCAATGGGACGGCTTGTTTTGAGGGGTTACCTTGGCTGGGAGATTTATATACTTTATGTTGAACTTAATCATACTCTTATCTATCAATCGTATTTGTACAGGATGTGACTGGCCAGTAAATAATAAAAAGAAATGACAAAAAAATTATATCGACAACATTCTGCAGTTAAGAACAACAATTAGGATTACTACTAGTAGCAGAGAGTTTTTGTAGGCAATACAGCCATCTCACTAATTCACCACTTCCTTGAGATTTTAAAAATTGTTTTATATTGTTTTTCCCTCATTCTCATATTAGATTGTTCTTTTTTGTAGAATTTATATTTGGTTTAATAAAGTTTGTAGGCTGTCAAGTCATGGAAAAATATATTTCATCAGCATTCAAAAACTACTTGATGGCATATAATCAATCATATATGAAAGGTGGATGGCTCAAGGACAAGTATAGAAAATGGAAAGAGGGACACGTAACCTAAGGCAGAATAATAGCAAATAGCCTGAATCTGAAAGGCTCGGGATGAACTAAGACTTGCAACAAATGTCAAAAGTAACAAAAAAGACTTCTTTCAACATGTAAAAAACAAGAAAGAAGTCAAGGAAATGACTGGTCCACTAACCGGAGAAGATGACATGGAAGCAATGGGTAGCAGGGAGAAATTGGAATGGCTTAATTCATTCTATGCATCAGTTTTTACATAAAAGGAAAAACTAGTCCAAACTAACAAAAGCAATATTGTAAAAAGATTAAGAATACAAGTCAAAATAGAGAAGAAAATAATGGTAAGACAACACCTATCTATGCTAGATCAACAGGACCAAATGGATTTCATTCCAGGGTTCTGAAGAACTGGCTGATGTGATCTCAGAACCACATCTTTCAAAAATCCTGGAGCACCAGGGAACTACCAGAGGATTGCAAAAGAGCAGATGTGGTTCTAATCTTTCTTAAAAATGAGAAAAAGGGACCTAGAAAACTGCAGACCAATCAACCTGACATCAATATCTTGGAATCCTGGAAAAGATAGTTAAGTAAGGGATCTGAGAATACCTAGAAACATACAAAGAAGCTAACATGGGTTTATCAAGCACAGATCATGCCAGACAAATCGCATTGCATTCTTTGACAAAGTGATTACATTAGTGGAGCAGGGATATGCTGTGGACATAGTATAGTTAGATGTCAGTAAGGGAGCTGACAAAGTAGACCACAGTCTACTTCTTGGTAAGAGAGAACAATTTGGGATAGACAGCATCGCCACCACATGGATTCGCATTGACATAGAGGGAAACATGCAATGGAGTACAACTTAGGCTCAGGACTCTTCAACCTCTTCCTAAACAATTTAGATGATGGGATATTAGGGGAACTCATCAAATTTGCAGATGACCCTTTAGAAGATCTGCTCAAGAACCAGAATTGAACACTGGACCCTATCCAACAAAACACAATCCAGTGATGAGAAAAGCAAGAGAAACCAAATGCATAGGTGCAAAATGGGCTTCACAGCAGTAACTGTGCAGGGATCTTGCAGCCCTAATGGGCAACCACTTAATATGAGCCAGCCTGGTGCTGCAGCTGCCCAAAAAGGGAATGCAGTCCAGGGCTGCATCAACAGAGGGGTGGCATCAAGTTCCCATGAAGGGGTCCTATCGCTTTATATGGCACTTAGTGAGGCCACACCTGGAACCCTGAGGCCAATTCGGGTTAGGACACCCAAAAGATGTTGAGTCTCTAGAAAGAGAGCAGAGAGCAGCAACGAAGGTGAACCTATGACCTCCAAGGCCCCTGAAGGCAGGACAGAAGCCACCGACGGAAACTAACCGAGGAGCAACCTGGAAGGGAGAGAGAAGCTTCTTCACGCTGACAAACGTTAAGCAGCGGGACCGCTTTGCCCCCAGAGGTTGGGGGGAGGGCATCGCTGCAGGCGCTCAAGGAGAGCCTGGACAGCCACGTGCCTGAAACGGAATGGGGTCTCCTGCTTGAGCAGGGGGGCTGGACTAGAAGACCTCCGCGGTCCCTTCCAACTCGGTTGTCCTGAGGAAGGCATCCGCCGGGGGAAGGAGCGTCTCTTGACGGCCAGGCTTCTAAAAAGGCTGCCAAAGGAACCCCGACCCCCAAGCCCGGCCAAGATCGGCTCCTGCAGGAGGGGGGGAGCTGCCCATTTCCCGTCCCCGCCCAGGCCGAGAGGCGCGAGCGCTTGTGGGGCCGAGGGGAATGGGGGGGGCGGGGGGGGCTTTGCTGTGGGCCACCCGGAACGTCCCCAGGCCCAGAAGGACCGGCGCACGTGTGTGTCGGGGAAGGCACCTCTGCAAGTGGCTCTATGGCCACACGCCGCGCAGTGCATGACGGGCCATAGGACGAGCTCCCGCCGCCCGCTAGGCCCTCCGCTGACTTCTCTGGCCGCCGCGCCTCCGCCCCGCGGTGCCTCCGAGCGGAGCGCCCCGACGCTGCCCCGCGGCGCGGACTCACTTCTTCAGCTCCGGCGGGTGCGCTTTGCTCATCCTGCCTCTTCCAAGCCGACCGCCTCGCGAAGCGTCTGCCGGTCGCCTCTGCTGCGTTGGAACGTCACCACGGCGCGCACCTATCTGCCCAATCACCAGGCGGCTCGGGCGCAGGCGCAACCACAAAGGACGGCCAAGCCGACGAACGCGGAGTCCGCCCAAGTTCTCGCGAAGGGCGGGGCTATCCGGTCCTAGCGACCAATCAGCAAGCGTCCCGCCTTCTTTTTAAAGTCGTGCGGTGGCGCCGGCGTCTCCCGCGTTTCTGCCGTTTCTCTTCCCGCTGCATCTGCCGCTCCCTCCGCTCGCCCGGATTCTTCTCCCTCAGTTGCCCTGTGTCTTTGCTGGGCTCCCGGGAGTGGAAGGGCAGCTGCCCCCGAGGAGGCGAGCAGGATCGGTTGCCCCGCGCCTCTTGGCATTCTGGACCTGCCTCAGGCGACGTGCAGGGCTCTCCAACCTGGGCCGCTTTACGCCTGGTGGACCTCAACTCCCAGAATTCCCAGGACTCCAACTCCCAGCAAAACTGGCTGGGGAATTCTGGGAGTTGAAGTCCGCAAGGCATAAAGTGGCCCAGGTTGGAGAGCCCTGGTTCAAAGCTCACCTGGTGCTTTCCCCTCCGGAAGTCCGTTGGCCTCCTTTGCGGGAAAGGTGAGCAGAGGCAGGCAGGTCTCCCGGTAACTTTCTCAAAGCAGCGCCTTCCTACCGGGCTGCATTTTCCCTCCTCTTGAAAGGGCCAGAGATGACCAGCAATGGCATGTGAAGGAATCCGCATCAGCATTCCCTGGTTTTTTGAAGCCTCTGGGAAGGAAATTCAATCTCTCCCAAATCCAGCCAAGTTTCTTTTCCATTCAGCTACAGCTGAGCTACCATTCGACTCTACAGCCGAGAGCAAAACAGCTAAATGCAAAGTAGTAACAGACAAAGTTATGGAATGCTGGAGCCCTTCAGAGAGTGCGCCATGGCCATCCCTCTGTTAGCAAATGGACTTTGGTGAGAGAAATCAATCAGAAAAGGCCACTCCCCATGCTGGTATTGCAGCTCTGTTTCCATACCTGACTTTCTTGCCCCTTCACAATCTGTGGTATTCTAGGGCACAAAGCCTTAAGCACCATGACAATTCACTCCATTAAAAAGTGAAATAATCACTTTTGTCAATCACTCACCAGGATTTCCTTTCTTCTTATATATGCACTACTATTTATTCTGCCCCCACAGCCAGCAATGAAGAGAAGGAACCATTCTTTCCAGCTCACTTTTCCAAGAAACCCTAATAGAACAATGTCTTGAGAGTAGCCAATAAGGTTACTCTGCTAAATACAGAAATTCTCCATACTGAAATGAACTCAGAACATAGGCCAAATGCAAATAATGTGAAACCGCATAAGATTTTAAGAATTTAATAAACATTTGTTTGGGGAGTGGCTAAAAAGACTTCATATTTTGGTAACAAAGTTTATATTTTGATGTCGCATTTTTAAAACCCCCTTAAAATCTTCATTTCTGACTCACTCAGCAAACTTTAGCTTTCCAGGTTCTGATGGCTCCTTTCCTGTTTGAATCCACTGTCATGAGTGGGTGGCAAAACAGTGACGAAACTTCTGCATAGATCTGGCCAGACCTGGATACACACACACACACGTGCATTTTCCCTACTCAGGACGTATTAAGGCACACACATCCATACCTGCTACCTGGTCAAAGAAAAAAAAAACCTGCTTGATGTGGATGAAAGCACAAATAGAAGGTCCCAGCAGCTTTGGAGAATTCAAAAGGTTTAATATTGTATTTTCTGTCACTCAGTTACATCACATGGCACAGAACCAACCGCCTCCTTGAGCAGGACTGTAGGAGCAGCCATTTTGTGTCTTTATTGTAGGGCACCAGAGGTATGAACTTGAACGGGCCTGAGTGAATCTGCCCTGCTAAGACAACAAGCGAACAAACTTTAGGGCTGCTAAGGAAGCACCTTTTCACCTCTCCTTCCCCATTAGCACCACAAGGGTCGGGAGCGTTGGTCAAAACAAGGCAGGGAGATCCCCTGGACTTGGGAACATATCCAGAGAAAACCCAACCCAGCCCCGTTTCCCATTCTGGCAACCGGCAGCCTTCCTTTCACCAGGCTGGGTGCATCCTCAGCCATCCTACCCGGAAGAAAGCGCCCGACGTATTCCCACGTTTGTTTCCTAGTTTCACCAAGTTCATGGCACCCTTCCTGGCCGGACCTGGGTTTGTGCACAGGGGTGGGGCTACTGAGCGATGCCAGCCAAGCTCTCTTTCATCTTCTTGGTCATGCTGGGGATGAGATGCACGTGGTCATCCACACACTTCATCACACAGTTCTCCAGCTGCAGCTTCACCTGCGACTCTTTGCTCCCGGAGTCCAAGGCGTCCTTGGCTTTGTCGTTGCAGTGCATGGTGCAGCGAGAGAGGCGGCTCTGGGGGGGGGGGAGAGAGAGGTGGGGACAGGGCAGCACAGAGTCTCCTCGGGCAACAGGAAGACCAACTGATCCCGGATCCCTAGAAGGACAGGGGGACCTTTGGGGTGCGGGGCAATGATGCAAATGATTCTGCCACCCCCCCTCAATGGCTGCTTCTCAGGCAGGGAGGCCCAGAGCAGGCAGAGCCAATCAAGAGGGCAGCCGGGGAGCCCAACCGAAGCTCTGGCCTGTTCCTATGTCTGCGAAGGCAGCTGCAACACCCCCCGCGCCCCCCCCCCCCAGCTCTGCGGGCTCGTCTTTCGTGTTTCAAGGGGGAAAAGGAGGGCTGAGTCTCGGCAAAGAGGGGGAGGAGGGACCGTTCCCCTCTCTCTGAGCGCGGAGGGCCGCGCGGCCTGGGCCAGGGACCGTCGCGGGGCGGCCTGCTCACCTGGAAGCGCTCCAGCTCCTGCGTGACCAGGGCCTGCGCCTGGGCCAGCGGCGCGTGGCAGCGCTCGATGCACTGGTGCACCTGCTGCATGGAGGCCCGCGGGTTCTCGCAGCACGTGGCGCTGCAGCGGAACATCAGGCCCTGCGGGGAGGGGAGCGGCGCCCCGGTCAGCCCGCGAGGACGGACCCAGGGCGGGCGGGAGGGAGGGAAGCCCCGGCTCCAGCGCCGGAGGGGAGGCCGCGTGGCTCGGCCGGCGGCCCGCTCCCCCCGAAAAGCCGCGCCCGCCCCTCGCCCGGCCGACCGACCTGCATCTTGCGGATGTGCTCCCGCTCCAGGCCCTGCACCATGCCGTCGATGGCCTCCTGCACCCGCAGCTGCTGAGCCTCCGCCATGCCGGACGGGGAGCGCGCCGAGACGCCGCCGCGGACCGAGCCGGCGCTGCGGAGCACGAGAGGCCGCCCGCCCTCGCCCCGCCCCCGGCTGCCCGCCCACCCCACCCCCGGCGGCGGGGCCAGGGGAGGCTGGGCTCCGGGCCCGGAAGGCTCGACGGGGTTTGCTCTCGCCCGGGAACAGAAGCAGCTCCCGAGACCAGCGGAGCCCTGGGAGGGCTTCCTCTCCACCGCTGGAGGTTTTTAGGAAGAGATAAGCCGCCTTTTGTCTGGTCTAGAGTGCCCTGCTTGAGGAGGGGGCTGGACTAGAAGACCTCCAAGGCCCCTTCCAGCTCTTTGTCCTTCTGTTATTCTGATTAGGGGACGTTGACCTTGGGGGGGAGGGTGTTGGGGGGCTGCTCTGACGTCACCCCTTAGTCCTTCTTTTCATTAAACTTTTCCCGTTCCTGCAACTGTTCTTCGTAGGCTTTAGCCCCCCAGTAATCCTTGTTCCTCTTCTCTGCACTCTAAGATTTGAGTGTCTTTTTTGCACTGTGATATAATCATGGATCAATCCTGATTGTATCACAATGTTTCATGGTTATGTCATGAGATGTAATCATGAGTCAAATCACACCAACAAAAGCTCCCTCTCTTATTTGTGCAAGAGCTTAGCTGGACTTTTTGGTCCCTCCCTTTATAGGCATTCCTCTTTTCCACCAAGGTTTTATTTCTCCCTTGGCCTCAGATGGAGCAACGGAGTTTCAGATTGCAATAGCTGGTTGATTATTGCCTAAGTAATTGTCTTCAGATATCGAGGTCTGACTCCATTGAGTCAGAGCATGGGTAATAAATAAAGAGCTACACAATGAATTGCTGTTGTGTACCATTTGCTTAGGAGTAAATCCTGCTCGCCAAACAATTTGGCACTTTAAGGGACAGCTCTCTGGAAGGAATGGAGCTTGTAAAGCAAGCGCAATCTGGAAGGGCCTCTGTTTTGAAAGTTTCCTGCAAGTTCTCCCCCTTCCTTAGCCTCAGGCTGGAATCTGCAACAGGTTGACCTACCCTGTTGTCTGTTGTCAGCATTGCCTAAATCAAGCAGAAGTACTTTACCAACCTGAAGTACATGCTAAGTATTATGAGCTGTCAAAGAACTTCAATTAACATGGAACCTAAACTGGAATAGAAGTCTCTTTTTTGCAAGGCTAATAACAGTTGCTGCTGAAAAGACACATTATGTCTTCAAAGTGCCTCTTGCAGACATGAACTCATTTATAATTCTTGCAAAAATGCCACCCTGGCCAAATACAATTTGGGGCAGCCAAAAGCTCAGAGTAGGTGGACAAGTCCCCACAACTGAGCCAGTGTGTGCAGCGAGGGGTCAAGAGGTTCAGGAAACCCCAGACAGACGGAGCACACCACGCCCTGGAAACCCGGGAAGGAAGCTGAAGCCACATCTCACTCTGGCTTGAGAGAGCCATTGATCGACTTCCTTTGAAAACCTTGGCCTGGTTGCCCGGCCGCATTTCCTTCTGAATGAACAAGGGCACCACTCAGGGCCGGAGGTTGGGCTCTGGTCCAGGCCAGAGGGCCAGCACTGAAACCAGTCTCCCTGGGGTGACAACCAACAGGCCATGCCAGTCCTCAGCGGGGCACCCAGCCAAGGTGGAGCCTTTCTGGAGTTACTACCTGCTGAAAATCTGAAACTCACCCCTGTGTTTCCTTCCTCCCTAGTCTTAAGTAGAACCAGAGTTCTTTGGAGCCTTCACAGCCTAAAGGAGAAGTACAGCGCCTGAAAAATAATGACAATCATCTCCAACCTTCTGAAAATGGATCACGGTGCCTTTCGGCTTGATGGAACTACTCTCCATGTCAAGAAAATACACGTGTTTCATTTTTCTACCTGTCTGCATGGGCGATCTCTCCAAAGGCTGGAGAAAGAAATTCTGAAAGGTAGATGCTAATATAGGCCACCACTGTGGTTTCCAGCTGAAGTTTTGAAGGGCTGGTTCACAACGCTGTGAAGCTGGGGGGGGGAACCAGATCTGGGATCCAAGACCAGATCCTCCCCTCACCCGTGGAAGCTCCCGAGGGGACTCTAGGCAGTTACTCTCTCTAATCTACCTTGCAGGGTTGTTGTTGGGAGAGGCAGGAGGAGGAGGAGGCATCACCTATACCGCCTCTAACTGCTATAATATTAATACAGGACAAACACTCCGGTCTCTCACTGGTTCCTAGAGACCTCTGGCTGGAAGGCAGCTGGGGGTCCTTCTTGTCCAAGCCCCTCCCCAAGGCCCTCCTGCCACAGCTGTCCTGGGTGAGGGAGCCCAGCTCCCCAGGGGGGGAGGCTGTCTATCCTCAGTGGGAATGGGAGGAAAGATTTCCAGCCGCAAATCAAGACTGGAATCCCATAGGAAAGTAGAAACCAGGCTCGTTTACCTGGGCCTAAAGGAAAGGGGGAAAAAAGCCCTAAGCTGCTCCACGGGTGCCGCCTGAGTCCCTGTGGCCTGGGGAGTGAAGAAAAAGGGGGGCTGCCCGGAGCAGGCCTTCTGCTCTGCCCTTGTCTCCCCCAGCTGCTCTTCTCCGCTCCGGCCTCCAACCTTGGAAGGAAAAGCCGGAAGCGCTTCTCCCGCTTTCTCTTGGCCTCCTCCTGCTCTGCTGGTGGCGGCTAAGTAGTAGACGGCCTCCCTCCCCGCTTTACTCCCAGACCTTCCACAGGGGGCGTGAACAGGAACCACCTCCTGGAAAGGAACTGGGGCCTCAACTACCACCACCAAGGGGCTCCAGCAGGGGGAGCCACGTGCAAAGTTTAAACCCGGAAAGAAGGATTTGAGGTCGGTCCTGCAATGTTTTGGTTTTACTTTCGAAGCTTCGACTTTGCCAGCAAGTCCTTTTGTGGCTCTGGATGTCCAACTTCTTCAGAGGTCCCAGATCAGAGCTTCAGAGGTTTATTTCCATAGGAATGGAATGAACGATGGGTGCCAAAACACCTGGGCTATTTTCTTGCAAAACAGAAAAAGCCTGCAAGCTGTGAGCCCACCTCTCCTCCCCAGCCGGGGCCCCCAAAAGGCCTCCGAGGGCCACTGGGGAGTGAGATGGTCCCGAGGCCAACTGGCCTCCCATGACTGTCCCGTAGGAGGAACCCAGGAGGAGGCTGCAGAGGTGTCTACAAAGGACAGCCAGCAAGGCCAAGATGGAAAATGAAGCTCTGCTCGTTTTTTTTAATGTCTTAATGCGCAATTTGTCTAAAATCCACGGGGAGGGTCAAAAAAAGGCAAGATGGTGGCCGCAACTACACTATCACAGCCCCGCCCCCTTTTCACGTGCAATACACAAAGCCTGGAGCTGAAGGCAGCTCCCCCTGTTAGGTCCCGAGGCTGCCCCGTTGGGAGCCTCCATTAAATCCAAGGAGGCGTGTTGTTGCCTTGACTGAAGTAATCTTGTCACAATTGTCTCAGGAGGGCGGCAGGGGCAGGGCCACCCCGGGGGGGGGGGGGGGACTTCCCAAGGGAGAAAGGTGGCAGAAGCTTCTGGCCGACGGACATGGCTGGCTGCAGGGCTGGAGGCTCAAGGCTCAGCAAAAAGCCGCTGCCTGTTGCATCATCTGATCGGGCCTGAGTCTCTGTTCCAAGGAGACCAAAGTGTCTCTCCAAACTCTTGAGTGCTTTATTGTGCACTTCTCGGTTTTGGATTTCCGCTGCTGCTGCTGCATAATTTCTCTTCCCCCCCCCCCCCCCCCCCCCAAATCTGGAGGAAAACACGGACCAGTTTTATGTTCTGAGAGTGGAAAAGCTATTCCAGAGTAGCCCTTCTGTGCTACTCCTGCCAGAACCTCACCCCTTCCATTGCCCACAAGAGCAAGAAGCCTCTTGGCAAAGAAAGAGTAGGAGGACAACTGATTCTCTGCCGAGGGCTCGCCCCCCTCCACCCCAGGAGGAGAGGGGTGGGTAGGAAGACCCTCCTGGCCTAGGAATGCCTGCAGTCATAAATGACAGCAGTGAATGGAGGAAGAAAATAGCTCGGAAGCACAAGGGAGGAGAAGAAGAAGAAGAAGAAGAAGAGGCCACCCGAGGAACAGCTGGATCCCAGTGGCCGTCCCTCACCCAAAGAAGGAGAGCTCAGCCGTCTCTGCGGGACTCCGCGAGTCTTTAGGCGGTGCTCTAAAATTAAGGGCCATGAGGTCATTGCAAGAGCCTTCCACAGATTCCCACGGGGAGGCATCCGTAGGCCTTCAGGGCTCCTGCTGCAAGAGTTTGGCTGACGGCCAGGCCTTATATGGCTGGGCGTTGGGACTCAGCCTGGAGGGGGCGGGCTGGGAAGGGCTCATAGTAGCTTGTGATGCATTGCGCATTCGGTAGCTGTATCGATGACTTACGGCCATTTCTTTAGTGAACCTCCCCGTGGTCGTATGATCAAAATCAGGCAACTGGCAGTTACATCGACTGCAGCTTTCTGGGCTCTTGGGATCAGCATGTGCGACTTCTGGGTTCGGACAAGCAAAATCCACGGGGAAGCCAGATTTGCTTAACAACCATGGGGTTCCCTTAAGAATTGTGTCAAAAAGGCTGTAAAATCAGGTACAACTTAAGAACTGCATTGCTTACCGATGGAAGTTTCAATTCTGCTCATCAGCCGAGGGCCACCTATATTAACTGCTGATCTCTGTGTGTCCAAAACTTTACCTGGGGGAGGGTGTGCTTTAAAAGAAACTAGTGTTGGATATACAATGATGTCTGAAAGTTGAAGGAAACTGGGGTTCTATCCTTACTGGCCAAACCATTTAAGACATGTGGACTTCATCTCCGCAAAATTCCCTTGCTCCCTGGGGCATTCCGGAAGTGAAGTGTCTTAAAGTAAGCATTTACTTTACTTTCTTCAGTAAGGCCTAACAAATCAGACCACAGCCTGTTTTTTGATAAGACAGAAAAATGTGGGACTGATAATGTCACCACCAGATGGACTCCCGTTTGGTTGGCCAGTCACACTCAGTAGATGGTCCTCAATGGAACGACATCTAGATGGAGAGGAGCATGCCGTGGGGTATCTCAAGGCTCTGTTTGAGGGCCAGTGCTCTTCAACAGCTTCATAAAT